AAATGGCCATACCTTGTATGGAACGCTGTCTTCCACTCATCTCCTTCCCTGATTCGTACGAGGTTGTAAGCTCCCCTTAGATCAATTTTTGTAAAGATCCTTGCACGTCCAAGTTGTTCTAAGAGACCAAAAATCAAGGGTAACGGATAACGATTCTTCTTTGTTACCTTGTTGAGGCCTCGATAGTCCACGCACATCCGCAATGAGTCATCTTTCTTCTTCACAAATAAGATGGATGCTCCAGCTGACGATTTTGAATGACGGATGAAGTTCTTGGCTAAATTCTCGTCGATGTACTTCCGCAACTCCACCAACTCTGTCTGCGATAGATTGTAGATTGGGCCAAAAGGCGGTTGTGCTCCTTCCTACAAGTCTATGGTGCAATCATATGGTTTGTGTTCTGGTAGTATGTCGGCATTTTTCTTTTGAAATACATCTTTAAAATCCTTATATTGCTCTGGTATACTTGCTGTCGAGATCTTCTCCCCAGTAGTTGGAGTCGCATAAATGACAAACAGTGTGCCTTCCTTGGACAATCTTATAAATGCTCTTGCTCCAATAAATAAAGATTTCTCTATTCAAGATTTTCTACTAGGCTTGCTCTTAGGTGGTTTTGTAGGAAAGATTATCTTCCGCAACTTCCAATCTATGGATGGGTTATGCTTTTCCAACCAGGAAAGACAAAGAATAACAGGATTTGATGGGGTTCTAATAATATTGAAAATAATATGACTACTATGGCTCTTAAACGTCACTTCTATAGGTTCTGATTCATGGGTGACACTACCAGACAATAAAGGTCGTCCATCTATGACCTCAACGTGAATAGGTTTGAATTTTTGTACTAAAGGGATCTTATGACGCTTTGCGACTTCTTCATCTAAGAAACAAGCAGATGTTCCTGAATCTAATAATGCTAAGGTTCTCAGTTTCTGAGGGCCAATAAGCAAAGGGATTGTAAAAAAAAGGGCAGGTTGAGCGGAAAGAAAAGAACCTGGTTGTTGTTGCAATATTTCACTGTCCAGCCGCACGGTTCGTATTGTGGCTGGGCATCCTTGTTTTCCTGAATAAACGCACCCCTAGTCTTGATAATACGTCGATTTTGCTTCTTAGGGCAGTTTCCAACTTTGTGGCCTTCTTCACCACAATACAAGTATAGACCTTCCTCCATACGTCGCTTTTTTTCTTCTAGAGTAAGAGATTTAACACGTACCGCATCAATTTGCATGTCTTCTACCTCTGAATGTGAATTCACGGTGCTTGCCGACATAGTTGGGGTGTGGCAAACCATATGTTGTCTTGAACGTTGGTCTTGGCGATGTTGAAATAGGCGGTTATCGCACTTCACAGCTTCGCTAATAGCTTCATTGAGCATTTGCGGATCAGAAAGAGTTAACAGCAAATCCTTCACATCGTCCCTTAAACCCCAATAGAATTGACTCATCAACGCTTCTTCGTCCCAATTGATGTCGTATGCTAATTGCCTGAAGTTCGATGCATAGACTGATGTAGAACACATCCCTTGTCGTAGTAACCGGATCTTTGTTGTAGCCCATCGAACCTTGTCGTATTCACCAAATGCTTCCACAAATGCCTCCAAAAAGGTTTCAAAGTTGTTTAGTATGGACGATCGTTTCTCAAACAAAGGAGCAAACCATGATAGAGCTTGTCCTGTAAGTAAGGTTCCAACAAGCCCAACACGTGACTCCTCCATTGGATAGCGTTCGGGCTGTAAAACTGTTATCAACCTGATTTGGTTGATGAATCCTCAAAACTTGGAACGTGTACCATCGAACTTGTCCGGAAGGCTAACTCGGGGTTCCTTATGTTGTAGAACCAGCAGTGCTTGTCGAACCTGAGGCAAAGTTGCTTCTCCCAGTGTAGAAGTTTGAGGCTGGTACAACATAGATTGTGCCATCCCAAATGCTCCATCATTAAGAAGCCTTGCCACCACTCCTTCAATCTCTGCAGTTCTTTGCGATAACGTAGCGAGGGCATTCATGATAGCATCTAACATAGACTCTGAACTTTCCGTCATACTAATGTCTTGACCCCCGACCATTCTAAGAGAAGGACAAAAATGACTCTACAAGAAGACAATATTGGTTTAAAGGAGGGTACTCCGCAACCTCTAAAATGCCTTAAGAGCTTCAAGAAAAGGGGTAATCCACTCTCTCCAAGAACAATAAGACTCCAATATTGTAACAAAAGAAGTATCAATTTAGAGGAGGGTAATCCGCAACCTCTAAAGTGCTAGTACACTTCCAAGTAGAGGAGTAATCCACACTCTAACAAAGAAGAAACTAGCTTTGATATCTGAGGTGAGTGAAGTCTCGACAAACTGTCATGGATACAGAAATACAGATTTGAGATCTAACAAGAAGTTCAAGAAGAACTGGCAAGAACTAGATTAATCAGATGAATACAAGAACAACACCAGAGAGGTGAACTAGAGCTCCAAGAGATGTGTTGTCAAGACTGAAGAACTCTTCAGCCTCGATTCCAATATATACTCTTATTTAGGAAGCTTCTCAAGCAACTTCTATCAACTAGGAAGCTTCTAGAAGGTTCCAGAGACTTGCTTCTAGAAGGTTCTAGAAACTTATCTCTAGAAGGTTCTAAGGACTATGTCCCTAACATCTTCTACCAACTAAGGAGCTTTTAGAAGGTTCCAAAGACTTGCTTCTAGAAGGTTCTAGAAGCTTGTCTCTAGAAAGTTCTAGAAACTTGTCTCTAGAAGGTTCTAAAGACTATGTCCCTAACAATGACGTATAGTTGAAGTAGTTTAGACACTATCACCCAAAGCTCATGTTAAAGATGATACAAGTCTTTTCATCTTTTAGAGCAAAGATATTATGGAAAGAAAATATACAAAGCTTCTACAATAATTTAAGTGAATTATATACATTATATAGATATCTTTTTGATAAGATGTAGATTTGTGACGAATTTGATGTGCAAGTAGGATGAAATAGTTATGCACTTGTCATAGCTCAAAGAAATGTTCATTGGATAAATCTCACTATTTTAAATTTTTTTAAAAATGGCTTTGGATTTTAGTTTGTATGAACATAATAAAATTAGACATATCATCTTTTTACATTTTTAGAAGGAAGTTTTTTTTACCAAAACTATATAAAACAATGCAAGACAAGTGCAATGATAACAATACAATCTACAACTTAAATGTTTGGTTATTTGTTCACTATATAGATTTTTTATTTTATTAAAAGCATAAAACAACTTGGTGGCATTTTTCTTATTCAAAGACATCTATTGTTCATTGATGGATATGCAAACCATAATATCACTGAAATAGTAAAATTAGTATAAGAAGTAGGATTGGACATTCTAACTCTATTTTCTCACACATTCTATGCTATGTAATTTCTATATACATGTGTCTTTGGACCATTCAAGACTTATTTCAAAGAGTATCTAAATTATTGGGTATCTAAAAGCCTATACAAAAATAAATTCTTCTACATTAGATGTTCTTAAGTTTGAAGTGGATTTTAACTATGAACATTATTATCAAAGGCTTCAATTCTATAAAAATCTTTGAATTGGATAGAATGACAATTGACAAATACCTAAGCCTAAACAAAATATATACTCAAGCTATTAAACAAGTTGGATATGGAAAAAATAATGTATATAGGAAAATTGGAAATTCTATAAAGCATAAAGATAAAAGTAGGTTGGACATGGGATCAACTAGTGTAGATGTATATGCCTTAATGTTTAACAATAGTATAGCTAACTTAGAGCTAACTCCAAATTTTACTATCAAACACTTTTTTTGTTGAGGCAAACATGTTCAATTTAGAATTGGCAAAAGAAATTAGCAAATTAGACTATGCTTACATTAACCTAAAATCTATAATTTTCTTTCCAACTTTGCCTACTATCACAAAAAGACTCAATCAAAGGAGATGCAATGTGGATCTCAATATAGTTTTTTCTGAATAATTAATATTAACTTTAAAGGCATATATGAGGATCATGTAGCAAATCTAGGAATAAAATCTTGAACAAACAAGGAAGAAAAGAAGAATGCAAATTAAAAAAGAAGAGTTAAAATGAAAAAAATTAGAAGAAAGAGAAGAAAAGAGAATACAAAAAGAAGCTTACTAGTGCAAGGTAGTGGAAAGGCATGCCTCAAGGCATATGAGCCAAAAGTTGCAGGCAATAAGGTGGCATATCCAAAGCTGCAATGGCAAGCCATATAGATGAAGACTTGCATATTACAAGCAACGAGGGGGTCATGGAGAAGTATGCTTAAACTCCAACATGGAGTATAGAGGAGAGACAAAACTCTAGGCCTCTCTTTTAACATGTGCCTTTACCATATACTTATTTGCAAGCTGCATCATACAATTTAGAATATGTGTTCTTATCATAGATTGATTGACAAGCTATATCATAAAGTTTGTAATACATATAAGTCTCACAATTAGTAATTAGCACTCTATTTGCAAATTTTGTCACCCCTATACAATCCATGTTGCAATCATAACAAATGCCTATGATTATGAACCTCACACACTTATAACAGTTTCTTCTATCTTACCTTATGCAATGTACATGGTTTATACAACAGAATATTGGAAAGAAAGCTTGAAGGAATTGTTGGAGCAAAAGTAGAAGTAGAAGATAAGCAAACTAAGATTTGAAGATAAGTAAGAATTAAAAGATATTGTTGCAAAAATCTCACAATGAACTAGTTGGTTATTTATAATTGGATGTTTAAATTAAAGTTGTGTCATCTATACATATTATCATCCTTAGATAGCACAGCATAACCAACCATTGTTAGTAAAGCATATGACGACAATGTTACAAACAGAATCTTCACTTCAATAATTTATAGTAATTTTGTTTTTGGAGAAAAAATTGTAAAAAATTATGAAATCCTTTTGAAATCTAATTTGTCTTAATCGTACCTGTACCCATACTGCAGATATGATAAATTGCTTAACTGGTCGGGAATGGGTCGTCTACCTTAGACCTACGTTAACTTCCTCTGGCCTGCAATTTCACAGCGGTGGCATTCCAAAAAAGACTTCATCGCCGACTGGAGATTTTGCCTCAAAGCATTTTTTGGCTACAGAACTACGTACAAGCAACCAAGTTTTGGATTCAATCATCATATCAAACTAACAAACGTTGTAGCGATAGTCGACCGCGATTAGAATGTCCTGATTTCTGCAATTCACAACATAAGAAAGTTCACGGACACGGATATTAAGTGCTTACCTCTTTCGAGAACGGCATGCAGGTGTTCGGCTAGCCTCAAGATAGATAAACGCATCAGGAACTAACTCAGGAAGTTCTGATACAATTGGGTTAAACCATGAGTCATATATACTGATTTCCATCTCATTCATCCACTTCGCCTCGTGTACTGCACGTACAAAGACTTGCCTCTTGACACAGAAATATCGGTATCATATAAATACGTTTATGCCCGACCATTTTTCTAAGTGCTCCGAAAAGCGTCAAATAATGTCTTGAATATTATCATTCGAGCACTGAAGATTTTACGCTCCATTAAGCGCAAGGTTGTGAAGCTATGGACAGATTCCCGCTCCTGCATTAGACTTGTTACAAATATGTGGTTCTGAAATGTGTACTCATATTGTTTGAGCTCCTTATAAAATGCTTCGAGGATGTTGTGATGGTTAGCACCGACATCTTGCCTCTTTCCAACAGGTTCAAGAAACATATTTGTTTGCATGCGCCGTGGCAATTGAGCCAAATAATTGTCTTTTTCGTTCGAACAGTCTCCCTACCCCATAGACAATTTTTTTTTACTGAATAAAAATGTTAGGAAAGACAACTTCAAAGCTTCTCCAGCTAGGCACGACCGAATGCAACAAAGATTAATTCAAGCATTCATATAAGAGTCTTTTGGAAAAAACACTCTTGATAGTATCACGTTATATTAAAAAATTCAAGTTATGCGGGTAATTTAAACTCCGTACGAGTACATGCTTTAATTGTCCTTCGCCTTGTGATAAATTAGTACCACAATTCTTAACCTTCTTCCAAGTAAACCTGCTCAAGAAAAAAAAATATCACGATTTCTTTTCTCAATCACTGCAATGATGATTGTCACTGTTTTATGCTTTAGAGGTAACATCTGGGCTGAATTACCAGCTGCGTTGGCCTCCCTTGTAGATGCATCTGCCTCTCTTTCCTCATAAGAAGAAGTTTCCCCATCTACTTCAGCTTTAAAGAGATGCGGCCTCTGTGAAATCAAAGCGCCCTTCGCAAACACTCACCTGATCCACTGAAAGAACACAATCTACATGCTCTCTGGCTTTGGCAGCTGCTCTTAGGACTCCGCCACGTTTATCCGTGGAAATTAGCGACGTGCAAAAATACTCATGAAAAGCTTATCCGCGTTATACATGAACCAGATGCTTTGCCAAGAGTAGCCCTTAATGCCCGGATTGCACTTCAATCCATCCCAACTCTTCGATAGAGACTTGGCATGCTCATCTTGTCTTTGCACTTGCTTATCCCTTTCAATGAAACAAGAATTGAACAATTTCTCTCATCCTATACAAACGACCTCTTCTCATAAAGAAACGTATCAAACAGCTTCCGCTTCCCTAGAGTGTTTATAAATCCTTCTGATGGTAGCATCAATGAAGTCGCTGAACCTCGCGGCTGAAACGTTTGCGCTATCGTGCACCTGGATGCCGAAGTAAGCAGTAAAACTGGCCGTGGTAGAATTAACAGCAGCCAATAGTGACCACTCTCAACTTAATAACTCCAAGTGCATCTCCATCTACAACGCTACGACACGTCTGGAGAGCGAAAATTTGACTGAAAACTATTTAAAATCCTGAGTTCAGCGCTCCATGTTGCAGAACGCGAGTTCTCGAGCTACTTCAGTCCAAATCAGCGCCAAAAGACAGCCAAATCTTTGCACGAAGGTGTGAGAAGATTACGGACTTCAACATGGTTAGTTTCCGTGCGAATATAGATTTCAGAAAATGTTCGTATATGACATTTCTCAAATTCTTGAAGATCAACGATTTAAAAAATCTATAAATCCGTAGATTTTATAATTATATTTGTAGATCTTTGAAATATGTTTATTTGTAATATATTTGTGGTTGTGTATATTCTTAGTTTAGGTTTTTTTGTAATATATTTGTAGTTTGTGATAAACAAAGAAGACACAATTTGTTTGTCTTTACAAAAACGTGTTGCTAAAGAAACAACATGACTTCTCAATTGTTATCAAATTTTGTTAGGATTATATTTCATCAGACTTCACTTTGCAAGTTATCTAAAAATTCAGTAAAAATGTTTGTTTCACTTTTAATTCCTATTCTTTAAAAATAACAATTGAAAAATTAAAAATTAAAAATTAAATTTACCATAATAATAAATAAGATCAAAGCTAGTTAACTAAGTATTGAACCAACTTTGAAAGTGCAACATTAACCATAGGTACTACAACTGAACAATATATTTATTTTCATTTGTCTGCACATCAAAACTCTTTTAAAATTCCAACTACAGCCAACTTTCAAACTTTTTAAAGGCTACAGTATTTTAAATCCTACAATCCAAAGATGAATTCATCCACAAAACAGTTGTTAGAGCACTGAGTATCATCATATACAAACAATGACTAGAAACTTGAGAGTACAAATAAAAAAATGCACTTAGGAATAAAAATTATGTACTGTATGTATGTAGTGCATTTTTTTGTGTTTCTAATTTTTAGAATTAAGCAAACCAATGTCCTTAATGTGTATATATATATATATATATATATGTATATACAAATTTATTTATTTAGGAGAATGTTAATTAGACTCATGTTTTTACCAAATCAACCCATCCTTGATGAAGAATATGGCAATCATGATGAATGTGGTTGGTTTTCATTGGTTGCAGATCCAATTGGGAAAAAAGGAATCTAGAGGTCATTTCTCTTTTTCATGATGGTTAGAATGGGTCCCCTATATTTAATTCTATTACTTGTAATTAATTACGAATTTGGACCACAATTTTGGAGTAGCAATCTCACATTAAACCTCTTTTCAACGGGGTCTGACTATTTTTAAAATTTATAATCCACGTGGACATATTGAATGCATTCCACTTACAGGGAGGGTCTTAAACCACTAGCACGTGGATAGAAGAATGCCGGTAAAGGGCCTGACTGACTTGCGGGGTGCGAATGAATGAATGAACGAACAATAGTCATCGATCATCCATGAGTCGCAGAGGATGACTTTGCATTGTCATCCACCGTGAAGGTTTTCAGAGAGAGAGAGAGAGAGAGAGAGAGTTATAAGGGCCTGGGAGCATATGGCTCAACCCTCGTTGCAGACTTTTCCCCAGGTTGCCGTGCGTTGCTGCTGCGGCGCCATTGCCACCGCTGTCGTCGTTGTTGCGCTCGCCTTGCATTTGCTCTCTACTCTTGGCTATCCTTCCCTCTTATCGCTCCTCGATTTTGTCTCGTCCGTTGTGGTGCAGTGTTGTTACCACTAGCTTCGGGGTCATTAGGTTCTTCCCGATTTTCGAGGAGGGCTACTGTGGCTGGGGAACTACATCGACTCGGTGAGTGCTGCGCAATCAAGATTCGCGACTGTTGTGTTTTAGGTTTTCTTGGTGCTTCTGTGTTGTGGATAAACTCGTGGACGGTTCTTGTCGTTGATTGACTTGTTCTGCCTCTGTTGTGCAACGCGCGGCATTATCACGATGAGTTTTTGTTGACCTGTTTAGTTTTCGATTGTGCTGGTTGATGTAGCAGTCCCTGGTCTTGAATCTTATCGTAAGAGCCTTACTCAAACCTTGGTATTGGTGTAGGGTCTTTGGCTATGACCTAGTCGTTGTAACTTTGTAGATTTTGTTGCCGTCAAATGCTCGAGAATGTTTTGCTGCCTTTCCGTTTTATATTTTCCTTGTTTTTATTATGGATAATGCGCAGGAAAATAAACTTTGTGGTCATGATTTTTTTGAGCTGATTCCATACATCTTTTAGGGCATGTGTCATCAACGTTCAATGTTTGACCCGTTCCTCGACATACCGACGACTTGTATTTTCATCTGGATTTTGTTTGGACACATGTTTGAAGTGATCAAGTCGTCGCTTGCATTTTTACTTATGAAATTGAGGATTTCGTGTTGTATTTCTAATGGATTCTATCCCGTGTTTCCGTGGTGTGTTTGTCCCTCTCTTGTTATATATGTGTTGGGTTTGTGCGAGGTCACTATGTACTCGTCACCCGTGATCCCTTAGATTCGAGACCGTATCATTTGACTTGGCTTTAGCATCTAGTGCAGAAAACGCTAGATGTTTTTAAAAGTGTCCGTTTTAGTAAATACTTGCCACGCTTAATTTCTAGGTGTTTGGTGAGAAAAACCAAGATAAGGCGTAGAGAATAAGTGCATGAGGTTTGAATCCCCTGAATTTGACTCTATCTGCTGAGTATTGGTTCTTTAGCTGGGGACAGCTCACTGTGTGGTTCGAATCAACTACAGTTTGTTGCAACAATACGATTCAGCGTCACCAAAATTATGTTTTTGTATACCCTTATGCTCAGCTCATTCTGCTGACAGGTCGGGTCCGCTATCTCAGAGGAGTCGGCAATTTTGCGGAGAGTACTAAGTCGCCCGGTCCTTAATCATTGCAAGTAATTTTCGTAACAGTTTTAAGGGAGTTCCCGCTCAAGGATCATGGATGATGATTGGGGTAAGTTTCTTTGTTCCCTTTCTGTGCTTTGTCGTCCTTTTGCGTTAAAGCACTGAAAGTGGTTCTGTTGTACTTCTCTGTGTCGGGGCACAATGATTCAGATCTTGCACACCTTCCGTTTGTCTTTTCAGATGCCGAAGATTTTACTCCCTTGCCGCCTGTGTTGGCCAAGGAGGCAACTCAAGTGAAGAGCCAATGGGATGACGAAGATGCCGAGGAGGAACCAGTAGAAGAGAAGCCCAAAGTTGTACGTGTCTTTTGAATCTGTGAACCATGAGATAACATATGTGCCACTTTTTCCTTCTATTTTAAGGACATGATTTTATTTAGAATTACACCTATTTAATTTATATTTTCTTTTTATGTCTTGAATTCAAAGGCTATCTTGCAACCATTACATTGTCATCAGTTTATTTAGTGCTCGGCTTTGATGTAATTTATGCCGAATATTTCTGGTAATACTGTAAAGAAGGCTAGCATGTATATGCTGTTCGATCCGTACGCTTTTTCTGGTGTCATCATGATGGGATGGGGAGGTCTTGACAGTGAGTTGCATTTTGTGCAGGTTGCTGTACCCAAACCCAAGGCTGAGAAGAAAAAGGAGAAGCCGAAGAAGGCAACTAGCGATGAAGGGGTCCTTTCCGACCCATTGGCGGAGAAGCTTCGACAACAAAGGTACCAAGTTGTAAAATTAAAGCTGGTCATTTAACTTATGTTTTCCTTAGTGAGCAGCTATTATTATTCATCTATTCGGCTTATTTGAATACATGAACCTGTGAGATTGTTCTTTTAGCCAGGAGCACTGAATAGTGGTTTTTATTTTAGTCATCCCCTTGGAATTGTTTTGCAGTACACTTCTCATGGAACTTTACTGCTGTGCATATGTTGTGGGACATCATTACACACATTTTTAAGGTTAAGTTTTTGTGCTGATGAATTTGCTGTGACGTTCAATAGGCTGGTTGAGGAAGCCGATTATCAAAATACATCTGAGCTATTTGGAGGCAAGACTCGAGGTGGTCGTAGTTTAGAGGATTTTATTCCTAAGTCCGAGGATGACTTTCTGGAGTATGCTGAATTGCTTGCCCAGAAGATAAGACCATTTGAGGTATTTTATATGCAGTCTCACCTAATGGGGGTAATCTACATAAGCATCTGAATTTAAGTGCAGCTATTAGCTTGCTTGTCTTTGCTTTTATTGTACTTCATATACGTGCTACTCGCCTCATCCTGTTGATTCCGGCGTGTACGTATTTGATTGCATCCTCTCTGTCCAGGTATCTGTGAAGTTTTTATCTGTTACGTTATAGAAACGGTAAAAATAGTCAAAGTAGAACATATTTTACTGTTTATATTGGTTTGCTGGTTCAACCTGATTTTCACTTGCATTCGTATGGGCTATGTGCAATGTTTACAGAAAAGTTTTCATTATATGACGCTTCTTAGAGCAATCATGCGTCATTCAGTTGCAAACATGAAAGCTTCTGATGCTAAGGAGATTGCATCAAGTATGACCGTTATTGCCAACGAGAAATTGAAAGCGGAGAGGGACGCCACTGCAGGAAAAAAGAAAACAGGTAGGTGACTGCATGGTCATGTCTGAAGGTGACGGTCAAATTTCTGAAAGCAATTTTCTATAAGAACCTGCACCAGTCCGTGATGGTTTGTAATTCTCTATTTCTTCGTCTATGTCCCAATATCTGGTCATTTTCGTCTTTCATTTTCTGGATGGGGTTTTGTGATCTTTGCTAACTTTTAGTTTGGATACAACAGGTGCGAAGAAGAAGCAGCTTATTGTTGATAAGCCAGACGATGATGGAATGGGTGGAGTTTCTTACGATGCAGTAGATGATTACGACTTCATGTAGTACTGTTAGTACCGTTTAAATATGTGTCAATGGACCATCATTGTAGTCTCGTTGAGTGGCTCGGTTAGGCAAGCATACATTAGAGTACAGAGTGCGGCAGTTTTGCTACGAACACATTGCTGTTAGTTACCCTAGTTTCGGCAATATTTTTGTGTTACATGTCAGGATGTGTGTTTCTGTCTACCTGAAATTTGGGAGATCTTTCAAACCTCCCAAATGGCTTCTGCCCGCTGCCACGGTCAAAGGGTCTCCTCACTGTTTGTTTCAAGCGGATCTATCGAAGCTGCGATGCTTTGATATTCTTTTTATACTGAAAGTTATGAGATGCAGGGAATCGTGACACTCCTTATGTGACGTGAAAAGCTGAAAATTGTACCTTAATTCGATTCTCCCGTTGGGCTTCAAACTAACTAAATTGTGATTTTATTAGATTGGTGTTTGTGGATGTCTAGATGAAACCTGTGCATCAGGAATATTGTGCTTCTGTTCTTTACTCATCACACCTGAAACATAATTTTATGAATAATTTTAGTATATTTTCCACGAAGTATATGCCACTTTGCAAACTTCTTCATCGAATCGTTTAAATGCAATGTCATCAAGTAGTAGCTCGGAAAAACCCACATCAATTATACGAATCTGAGCAGATGATTCGAATCTAATTACAGCCAAATCAGTGTACCATTTCCTTGAAAGCTCCCTTTCAAAAACGCTCCTTCATCATTGACACCAAGCTAAAGACAACTCACCACATGAAAAAATGTTAAAGTACATGAATTTTGCCGTGAGTTACCCAAGTACTCTCACAGCAACAAAGTGCAGACACACAGGTGTCCGAAATTTTGGATGGGTGTATTATCCACAAAGTATTGGGGAGGAATGGGAGAATTGAAATTGAAATGGACCATTCAATCATTATAAATTGAGCTAATCTCAATGACCTTGAACACCCTCTGATGTCCACGGATTAGGGTCGAATATTAAAGACGAACATTGTACATGCAATCTCCTATCATTGTGTTGCGTGGTCCATGCGAGGCTTACCTCAGACAACAACAGCAACCGAATCAGTCTATTCCATTCCACTGCCACTACCTGTAAAAAGTTACTGAATATTGTGCCCTGCGTGGAAGTACTCATGTATACGATTGTGAGTTATCTTACTCCATACTCCTTTTTGTGTGCAACCTTGCTGATGTTAAGTGTTGTGACTTCAAAGTGCTTGTTCTTCAATAGGTTATGGACCCACTCACCTTTAGTTGTGAGATTGAAGTTCTTTGAAGTCTTTATTGGTGTTAAGAATAGATCTTATGGTTGCTGCTGATGTTAGGGTTTGGTATCTTTTAAATCTTGTTTTGCGTCTAGTTGTTGATGTAGTTATGCTCTTATTTATTGTTAAGTGCATTCATAATCTTGGAGGTTGTTAGATACCTTAGATTGATGTTTGAAGACACTTGTGTTGTGTTTCTTTGCTGGGTTTCATAATCGGTGCTCTAACTTTGTGTTTTTATGTATTAATCTCCTTAAGAGATCCACTTATTGTGATAAGAGATGCTTTATGAGGTTAGAAGAGTTTTGTGAAAGAAGAGAGGTGATTAAAGATAGACAAAGCTTATTCAAGAAGTTATTAGACTTGTGAGAAGTCTTATAAGTAAAGTTGAGAGTGATTGAAGAGTGTAAACAATAGTTTACTCATTAAGAGAGCATTCTGGTCTTCTAAGGCAGCAATATCTTGTTGATTTTGAGAGTTCATTCTTCTTTTTTCTTGATTTTCTTTGACATACCCCTTTCTTAGACATCGCTGCAAGTGATGGTGAGGGTTTGAGAGTAATTGAGAAGTTTAGAGGTGACAACTTCTACCATTGGAAGAAGAAAATGGAGCTCTTGTTGGCTTCATTAGACCTTTGGGACATTGTTGATGAAAGTGAAGATCTTCCAAGTGACAATGTTGATGTGAAGGTAAAGAAGGAATACAAACAACGTGAAAAGAAGGCTTTTGGTATGATTGCAACAAATCTTGATGATGCCAACTTTTCACATGTAATTGCTTGCATTGGACAAGCGCAAGCATCAAAGAATCTTTGCAACATCTATGAGAGTAGAAATCTTGCCAACATTCTATGAACAAGAAAGAAGTTCTTAACAGTAAAGATGCAAGAAAGAGATGTCGTCATGGCTCATGTCAACAAAGTAAAAGCACTTGCAAACCAACTAGCAGTTGTTGATACAGTATTTGATGATAGAGAAATTATGTTGACATTATTCATGAGCCTTCCCGAGTCCTACAACTATCTCATTGTGGCATTGGAATCCATCAACATGAAGGAGCTTACTATGAACTATGTCACGTCAAGACTTACCTATGAAGTAATCAAGAGAAAAGAAAAAGAACATCAAAGTGAGGATTCGGCTCTATTCTCAAGACAAGGCAAAGGTAGCTTTTCTCACCAATGTCATAGTTCAAAGATCAACATGAGAAATTGCTATATTTGTGGAAAACCAGGTCACTTTGTTAGAAATTGCTACAAAGCCAAGAAATGAAATAGACAGAATGCAAACAATGCTTGTAATAACTTTGGTGAAGATGACTATGCTTTTATAGCAAGTGAAAGAGCCTCTATGGCGATGATATCTAAGTGGATTATAGATTCAGTGCTACTAATCACATGACACCATATAAGTGTTTATTTGACATTTATGAAGAAATTCCAGCAACTTAAGTTTGGTTGGAAGACAATAGCATGGTATAAGCCATTGGAATTGGTTCAGTTGTTGTGGAAATCGTTGTGAAGGACCAAATCAAGAGGATCAAATTGAAGGAAGTCTTACATGGTCAAAGATGAAAAAAAACCTTCTTTTGGTGAGCAAACTTGTATTACATGGTTGTAAGGTTCAATTTGACATGAATGGATGCTTTGTGAAGACAATGGGTGGACAATATGTTGCCAAAGGCCTTAGAGATGGAAATCTCTACTTCATCAGTTGTAAGTAGGTGAATAGAGTTGAAGTGGATGCATTTGCTGATTTTTCACAAGACCAAGATAAGTTTGGAATCTAGCATCAACGACTTGGCCATTTAAATGCCAAATGCATGTGGCTTGGATCTTGGTCATTTCAGCCACAATGCCATGATACTTGCTTATGAATGTTGTATACAAAGCAAATAACAAAGGAGTTTATTTCCAAATGGAGTTACAACACGTGCAACCAAATTATTGGAGATTGTGCATTCTGATGTTTGTGGACCAATGAAGACACCATCAATTGGAGGAGCAAGATACTTTGTCACATTCATTGATGATTTTTCAAGAAAAGTATGGATTTATATCATTAAAGCTAAGAATGAATGCTTTTCAAGGTTTAAGGAGTTTAAAACTCTTGTAGAGAAACAATGTGAGTGCAAGATCAAAGTATTGCACATAGACAATGGAGGTGAATACATGTCAAAGTATTTTGATGAATTCTTGAAGATTTAAGGTATTGCAAGACAATCCTCTACTCCTTACATTCTACAACAAAATAGAGTTGCTGAAAGAACAAATCGCACCATTGTGGAGATGGCAAGGAGTATGCTTCATGCACAACACCTTGGGCATGAGTATTGGGCCGAAGCCGTGGTTACTTTAGTATACACAAGAAATAAGTGCCTGTCACGGATATAATCATGTAAGCTAGTAATTACATATACAAATAGGTAGAAGTAAGTAAAAATAGGTAAAAGTAAGTTAATTCTATAGTATTTAATATGGAAGCTTCCCAGAAGCTTCATAGACACTGCTTTGACTTCATAGGTGTCTTTAATTGACTTTTTGGATTAGAAACGTGGTCAACAAGTTGGCCATGTGCCACACATGTTGTTAGCTTGAAGGTCAAGCTAACTATGTGGCCCACACGTAGAAGAACTTACCTTGTAAGTCAAGGCATGTGTCCTACAAAGTCAATACATATTCGAGGTCCTATAGAATGTCGCCATGTAGCCCGTAGTTAGATAGTATATATAGAGACAAGAGTGAAGGCTTCTTCACTCTTGTCAAGTCCTTTCTTGCTTCTAGTCTAGTTTCAAGGGTCTCTAGTTTTCTTGTCTTTTGGGAATAGCCATTCCAATTTCTCTTTCAATATATACACTTGTTTATATATATTTTGTTACCTCTCTTTGAGTGAAGGTTCACTTGTTTGAATTATTTTTTCATCGAGTTCTTGTCCTTGACAGATTGACAAGAGTACACCTACAATATCAGAGCTTTGTCTAATCTTGATTAAGAGTGGATTACCCCTTTTTCTTGATAAGATATAAGCATATTAGAAGTTACGGATTACCCTCTTCAAAACTGATATTGTCCTTAGTATTTTCTTTGTTCTCAAGTCCTCTCTTCTATTTGTCTTGAGCGATATTAGACATCTTCTCTCTTCTAAGTGTTATCATGGCAGAACTTGTTGAAATGAAGAGTGCAATGGCACAAATGAAAGAGCAATTGAGGGAGTTAATGCTTGCGATGCATCAACTCAATTTACCACCACAAGGAGCAACAAGATTGGCAGGAAGTGAAGATATAGAAATGGTTGGAGCTGCTTCAACATTTGCACCAAATCATGTCCTTTCTCCTATGGAGGAATGCCCTTCAAATGTTAGAGAACCAAGAATTGTCCTACCCGAGAAGTTTGATGGTACCAGATCCAAGTTTCGAGGATTTATCAATCAAGTGTAACTTGTGATTGAACTTCAACTCCAAAGCTATCCAACTCTAGGATCGCAAGTTAGATTCATTGGTACGCTTCTTACAGGTTCAGCACTATCGAGGTTTTCATCTTTTCTTGAACGACGAGATCTAATATTGAATAATCTAGAGGCTTTTTTGGCAGAGTTTTGATCTATATATGGAGAACATGATGCAATTCGTGTTGCAATCAATAAGATCCATATTTTATGACAAGGCAATCGATCAGTAACGTTATATGCTTCACAATTTTGACAACTTGCAACTGATATCAAGTGGAATGATGTTGCACTTATTAGCCAATTTCTCTACGGATTACAATATGAGGTAAAAAAATTAATGCTCAACTTACCTGATCGTCAAACATTGAGTCAAGCAATTGATTTTGTTGTGAAGTGTGACAATCGCCTTTTTGAATTCCGATCTGAGAATCGTACAAGTGGACCTCAACGTTACTATAATTCAATGGCAACACCAACACCTCTTCAACACATACATTCGAAAGTAGAGGATATGCAAATTGATGTAATACGTTTCAAACTTCTTACTGAGCAAGAAAAGACTCGTCGTCGTCAAGAAGGATTATGTTTATGTTGTAGAAAACCAAAGCACACTGCTTAACATTGTCCAAAGAAACGACGCAATCACAAAATGAAGAGTATGGCTATGAAAGAAGACAATATGTCAAAAAACGA